GCTTCCATCAGTGGCAACTCATTGGTCCTCACTTTGTTGTCTAACTTGAAAGAGATGGAGCTAAAAGGTCTCAGGACACCCCTGTCCGGGAGCAAGAGGACGACGGATGACGACAATTAGCGTAGTCCACCGTGATTTTCTTTTCTTATTCTTACTTCGGAGTTCACCTCTGTGAGGGACCTGTCTGCTATTAGTGCGACTAAGCGTGGCATTCTTTGCCCCCTCTTGTACCACCAGGACCTCCAAGGTTATCGAAGAATGCCAGAGGGCTATTGTACCTCCAGGTTTATCTCCAGGACACCTGTGTCCGGGAACAAGAGGACGGCGGTTGACGACGATGAGCGTACTCCACTGTGATTTTCTTTTCTTATTCTTACTTTGGAGTTCACCTCTGCGAGGGACCTGTCTGGTAGTAGTGCGGCTAAGTGTGGCATTCGTTGCCCCCTCTTGTCCCACCAGGACCTCCAAGGTTATCGAAGAATGCCAGAGGGTTATTGTACCTCCGGGTTTATCTCCAGGGTCGTAATGTTGAACACCGTCTTAAACCACGAGTACACCCGAGCCTGGTGGGCTTGGACTGTGTGCCAAGCTTTGTCGAACAGCCAGTGGTGCAGTTTTTTTCTTTTTTTCTTTGCTGGTGCAGTCAACCACTGTGGTCTGGTAGCTCCGAGCGTCCGATATTTTAGGATTGGGCCTTTGGTTTCTGAAGTTGCCTGGGACCCTGTAAGGAAGGTTTTTGGTTAAGGCAGATGAGGGATTTCCCAGTGGTCAGTGCTGAACCACCTCTGATCTGAGCCTCTGACCTGCAGGTGCTGACATCCCTCTGGTAGGACTAACAGCCCCTTGGCAAGGCAGCCGTGCATTGAAGTGAGGCCATTGCCTTCTCAGATGGCTCTGTGGGTGGTGTGCTAAGTGAGCCACCCAACCAGCCCACACGAAAAGCCTGTGCACTAATGGGGGGAGAGCACTCAATTTGTTGCCCCTCATTCCTTCTCTTTGTCTTGCTTGTCGTTGACACTCGAAACACATGGCTGCATAGTAGTGCATACGTTATTTTGATGGGGATCTGAGGTGCAGGTTGCTGCCATCATCATCGTTATCATCATTCTGCCCTTGCTTTGTTTCACTGTTTTTTTTTTTTTTTTTT